TTTCATACTATAATCCCTAATCCATACATGGGATATGATGACCATTCTACCCTTGGCCCAGTATGATCCAAGATTGAGGCCCAAGCCTAAAACCAAAGCCCAACCCTATAATGTCCATAATCCGTCAATGGTCCTAACCCGAGAAGGCCCAGTACTAAAAAGGCCTTGAATACTGAATGGTCAACCCCAGTAAACTCCTGGTCAAAGTCAAAGTCAACGGTCAAGGTCAACATTCCATGTTGACCCAACTCGCCGAGTGCATCTAGCAACTCATCGAGTCACCTGAGTAACTCGTCAACTCGCCGAGTTACCTATGTAACTCGTCGAGTTCCTTAATGTCTAGAAGACCGCAAACTCATACAGACCAAAACTCTAATCCTTCATTGCACTCATCCATAATCTCAAAAAAAAAAAACAGGTAAACCCTACCCGACTTGTCGAGTCGACTAAGGGACTCGACGAGTTCCTTCAGTCCTTTTTGTGTTCAGTCCTTTCTAGTGGGATCCAAGGTCCCAAACTTCAGATCCAACCCCCTAGGGTTGAGATACCACGTAAAGTTGCTAACTTTACATGCATGCAAGGCACTAAAGGCTAAAAATACTTAATCAAGGCTTGTCAAGGGACTTGGAGCATGAAGGAGGGCCAAGACTTGATAAAGTTAGCAACTTTAAGTCCCCAAAGGCCCTGAGATGTCCAGATCTAAAGCCATATCCTTATATCATGCTCAAAACCAAGAATGGTACTAAACTAGGCTAATAATGGCCATAAACTTTCATAGAAGGAGATCTAAGCAATGGAAGGTCAAGGTTTCGACTTTATACCTTAAAATGGTTGCCACACTGGAGGAAATCCCGGATCTACTGCCTTCCACTTAATCCAACCTCTTCAAGCTTCAAGTTCCTTCCAAAGGAGCACCAAGAATCACTTTCCAAGCTCACATACACACCAAATGGGAGATGAGACACGATTTAGGGTTTCTCTGGACAAAGGAGGTGATAAGGGAGGCTACAAGTGAGGCTTAAGGCCTTTAAATATGGTACAAACCCTGAAAATTAGGGTTTCCCCTTTTCAGCTCCTACTCGTCGAGTTGGTGCCTTCCAACTCGTCGAGTAGGTCCTTCATCCCGCGTCCAATATGATTTCTACTCGACGAGTTGGAGCTCCCCAACTCGTCGAGTCCCAGCCCAAACTCTAAAAATGATGAAAACTGACCATTACCTAAACCAAGCGTTACAATATAAAGAAAACATAATGACACGTATTGCGGAGAAATCCTTGTAATAGTAATGTCAGCAACGATGACTATGATGACTCTTAGGATAGATCCTTGGGGAAGAATAAAGAAGGAAAACGTGGATGGGTAATCGGGTTAATTGTTGATAACTAAACATATTAACCATATTATTATGGGTTGAAAACCCTATATACTCACTAGGTTTCCCAACCTGACCCACTCAACTTCTTTGTATCACAGGTAGCAATACTAAGGTACATGAATGATGAGAAATTCAAGGAGATGTAGACTGATAGTCTAAGGTATTGCAAGACCTATTTATTCTTATGTTTTGTATCAGTTATGACATCTCAATATTTTTATAAATCAATGAAAAACATTTCTTTGGAAATACTTTTATGAGACCAAGTCCACATTAATAAATAAACTCTGTTTTAAATAAGCACAAATAAAAAGATTTAAAATGGTCGTAAAAATGGGGATGTCACAAGTTAACCTATAATGTATGACCTAATATGGTTAATGAGCACATCTTTGATCTTTCTGTGATAATAGATGCAAATTTGAAAACATAGAACTCGACATAATTATGAAATCGCTAAAACTAATGAAATTCTATCTATAGTTTCATATATGTTATTCAAGATAACATAGAAAGGGGACACAATTTAATAATAAAAACAATTAACCGAAATTCTAAAGAGGGTAATCTGGATATATTCATTAACAAGGACTAGCACAACCATAGTCCTTGCGCTCTCAAGCACTTCAATATTTATAAAATTAAATGCAGATGTTAAGTTATTAAGTCTTCTTTGTTCATATGTAATCGTGAACCAACAAGACTTCCATAAACCCAAAAAAAATCGTAAATAATAGAACTTACTCAATAACAGCAAAAACATAAGTTCTAGAGATGCGACCAAAATCTAACCATTCTTTGGGTTGCATAACGAAAAACAAAGAATACATTAATATTCAATTGCAATATTTTGGTGCTCATAAATATAATACTAATCCAATTTTTTTCTCTATTATGTAGTTGACCATCCAAAACCAAATGAATTTCCTCATATCCTCGCCTTGCAACTTATGCTGCTATATAGGCAGTAGCGAGCTTAAGATGTACATTAACACAACTTGCTTATAGACTAAATGGAAGAAATGACAACTTACTTTCATTTTATTTGCGTATTATGTAGTCCTACTTCCAATTATTTCTATTAAAAAAATGAACTTTCATTTCTTTTTATTAATTAAGGAATTTACCTAATATAACATTGTACTTTTAATTATTTTTTTCTTATTAGAACATTTTACTTTGGGGTAAATGCAAGAAATGACTACACACTTACTGTTATTTTAATAAAGGAATTTACCTAATGGTAGGAGTGAAAATTGATTTGCATTTGTATTGCGTTGCTATACTTAGGTAAAATTTTGAAAGTATAATGTCGTATTAAGAAAAAATAAAAGTAGAATGCAATAGTAAACAAATTAATGAAAGCAAGTTGCTTTATTTTTCATCTGATATATTTTATCATTTAAGTTGTAGCACTTAGAGGATCATATGATGGAGAAACATTGGGTGCTATGGAAGCACAGACCCCCATCACCCTATAATGATTTTCTCCAACAACCTTAGTATCGTTACATTTTCTTTATAAATATCCGTTTTATTGTTTTGCAAGTTTTTAGTTGATTATAAGCCTTCTTGCTTAGTGAAAGCTAAAAAAATGTATTGTAAGATCGAGAAAAACACCTTTATTTTCACTATTTTATCTATTTAACCACTTGAACTATTTTTTGTGGTGATTAAACCATTGTACTTTTTGGGACTATTTAAAAAATTCGTTTTTTATCAGGCTACCAAGTTCTTTATTACATTATTGTTGTTTTTTACTGCAGGTTATGGTTGTTCAAAAACTCTGATATTCGTCTAGTTGTTATGGGTTCGGTGGAAAAAAGGTGTTGTTCAGGTCATTATGTTGCCCTGTAATATAAGTCCGCTTTTTTATAAAGGTGTTAATTATTGTATTTGTAGTTTACCAAAAACAACTACAATATTTATTAAAATACACAAAATCAAATATATCATATAAAGAGTTATGTTAGACAAGTCTTCACATAGAATCTTTATTCTAACTCATTGAAAGACACTTCATTGCTCGAATTAAACTCATAACTATATAAAAGCTAATACTTGCTCCACATATGCACCTTAGAAAAAGTTAAAGCTACAAATTTACAATATATTTTTTTTTCAATTCCTACATCAGAGTTGAGAAAGATTTATTCTTGTTACAACCTACTCCATTTTCTTGTCGCATGCATGGTGCTTATTTCTTATTTGTGAATGATAGTCAAAGAGGGTCTACGTTTGATTCCACATGTGGATATACTAATGCACCATTAAATTAAACGGAAGTAACATTATTACATTAATTAAAAAGTATTCATTTTTTCCCTCTTTTGGTTTTGCCACTACATTTTTTTAATTTGTCATCTTAGACCCTTTTGGTTTTTATTTGCAGAGGATACTTGTACTTCGTGCAATAAAATAAATTCATCTTCAAGGCTTGTACTAATGTTTTGCTTGGTGGAGGAATGGACACAGACATGTAAGTAAATGTGCATGACACTTGTTCTTCAATGAAGGTGACCTTGTATGCTTTGGGTTCTTGTACATCATGCATGTGAAATTGTACAATGTTGACTTTCAACAGAGAAAACTCATTGTGAAAGCTACAAATTTGTTGGGTTTTATTCACCGAGAATTTTTGAAAGAGCAACACAAATATCAATACACTCAATTTACTTAAAAAGGAACTTTTTTCTGTTGTGATTGCAACTTGTTAGTTCAAACATAATTGTGAAATGAATGGTGTTTTGTAGAGATGAAAAACATGATATCTTAGTCAACAAGGTCGATCGGTGTTGTTATAGTGATTCTAGATGACACAATTTTATTAAACCCATGACACACCTACATTATCCCACCAGGTCAAGGATTAATCCTCCCTCGTGAGACTGCCCAACACCATCTACAATATATCCTTCCTCTAATCAAAGAAGCTTTAGTTCACAAAGAATGTTTACTACACAAAGAAAGCCATAAAATTATCCAATTGGAACAAGAAAGGGAGGTTAAGAAGAGTTCATTGCAACAAGGTAATTTAGTTCATGAATTTAGAAAGTAAGGATAACATGGTCCATTTATGTTTTTTTATTTTAAATTTTAATGATTCAAAATAGAAAAAACTGATTATAAAATTATAAAACAAAACAAAAAAATATATTTGGCAAAATATGATATTTAAAAGATTAAGAATGATAAATAAGATATTTAAATTTTAAATTGGATAAATATAATATTTTAATAAGGATCAGGATCATTTACAAAATTCTTTCTTTATTAATAATAAGAATAGCATAACTGATATAAATGGTATTGTTAAGGTTTCCAGAAATACAAAGCTAAAGACAAACCTAGGGCAAACCTAGGGCATTCATTGGCCCCAAATTAATATACATAACATTATAATATAAATAATATGTTTTGTTAATTGGTATGCCGGAGGAAGAAAACAGTTAAATAAGGATGGCCATAACTCACTACTTGTCATCTTTTGTCATCCCTTTATATATATGATGATTAATTTAGCTGCACCCATAATAATTAATTTAATAGTTACTAATAACAAAGAATAAAACATAGTGCAAAAACTTTCACATATTATATAGAATTGGTATACACCATAGAAACACCCAAGCTACAAATACATTCTTTTCTTTTTCTAGAGAGTTATGAAAGCTTCATATCGCCATATGCTCCTTTTTCTGGTAGCATTGATCTTCTTCTTAAACGATGCTCACATGGCGTCTGTTGTTGATCCCATATACGGATTTGTTGAGGTAATGTTAAACGAAAGCAACTTTGAGTACCAGAAGCCTTATGATACACCACTATGTCAACGTTACATATACCAAAATGGGATTCATCGTTTTTGGGTGTATGCAGACGATAAACCATTCCGTTTAGGAAGCAACACACAACCACGTACTGAAATTCGCATACTTGTAATCTCCACCATCCCTCTTTTTTTAGATTCGGTACTTTTTTTCTGATGAAGTATCCTAAAGGTATACTTAAAAAACATTTTCGTAGTCTAAAAATGATTTGGTTTAATATTAAGACGTGAACAATTTATCTAACTAGTATATAAATATACGTCCTCAATACTTTTCATAATAATGACAAAGAAAATAATCCATATCGATTTTTGTGTTTAATGATGTAGCCGGATTACACTTCTGGAGTATGGCAATTCGAAGGGGTTGCCTTCATCCCAAATGGAACTAGCGGTGCCACCATAGTTCAAATCCATGGTGCAGCCCATGGTAACACGACATCTTTGTTAAGGATCTACAATGGAGAGATGAGATATTACAGTACACAAGTGATAGATACTAATCTATATGATAGATGGTTTAAAGTTAATCTAATACATGATGTGGATGGAGGAAAAGTAACGGTTTTTGTTGATAACAAAAAGAAATTCAAAATACATGATCAAGGCCCCGGTTTGCTGTATTTTAAATTTGGAGTCTACGGTGCACCGAAAAATATTAGCTACTACATGGAATCGAGATGGAAAGACGTCAAAATTTACAAAAAGTGTTGATGGACAAACTTGTACCTCTAGTATAAATAGACTATCTATGATTTTAATGTGAAGTTGTAGGTCGACACCATTAATTGATTCTAGTACTATACCAATAGGTGTGTACAAGTGCATTTATGCTTGTAATGAGTTTTGATTCTATATTTAATTTGGTCTCACTTTGTAGTATTTCACAGCCCATGATGTTTTGTCAAGATTGATACACATTCAACAAGATTATAGACATAAGTAACATTACTAAAACAAAAGATACCATTAAAGAATGAGGTATGTGGAAAAAGGATAAAGTATAGGCATAAATGAAGTTCTTTCAAACAATATCATATTATAACACCTATAACTTAATGATCATGACACTATTATAGTATTAACCCATGATTGAATGATCAAAACAATTTCATATTCTTAACCATAAATGATGGTTAGGATGATTTAGACGGCCAACAATTAAAGATCAAGATTCATCAAGGCATATTCAAGATCCAAAGAAAGTTAGTGGACAACATGCAGATGAATAATAATTGAGGGACTCCTTTTGTAAATTTCGTATATAAACCTATCTTCTTCCTCGTTATCCCCTTTCTTGGGTCTTCCATTGGTATCAAAATCGAAGAAACCTTGATAAAACTTACGGGCTTATCTCGATCCAAATCATACACAAGCTCTAATTCTCATTTCCGATTCATAAAGTCAACAACTTTCGATTCCCCCAACAAATCCGAAGTACAGACTACATCATGCTCCAAACCCTAGATTACGATCTTCCCCATTCATCACAAAATCGGCGGAAACTGTAAAAAGTTCCTACAAATCCGGATGATTGATAGATGGCATCTTCTAAGTTGATGATGAAGATGTCGTCTTCCACTTCGAGAAATTCGGATCTCATCAGAAGAAAATCGTCCAATTCTTCCTCCTCTTCAACCTCAGCTACTCATCTTAATCATAATCACAAACGCCGTGGAATCAGAACCGACAAGAATTCTGGCGTCCTTCAGATGACCGTTGACGGCGTTTCGCCAATCGTTCACGATAACAACGAACAACAAATTCCCGAGACGACTTTATTTGATACTCTCTTAGACGCTGCAGGTGCCGTTTCTGCAACTAACGATTCCGAGACCACCGGCAATGTTAGCCGTCAAGAAATTGGTTACTTTCTTCTTCATCTAACTCCCATTGTAGTTAATTCTTTGCTCATTTCAATTTCTTGAATCTTTCAACAACACTTGGTTAAACATGCAATCTCAATCATCCACAAAATCAGTTACTTCTAGCATTATATTTGTTTCAAATCTAGTCCTTGATTGTATGCTTATCTTTCTGTACCATGAATTCTAGTTCGCACTTCATCAAATGGACCCCAAAAGACAGTGGATGATGTCTGGAAGGAGATCGTGGCAAGCTGTAAGCAGGAGGTGCCAGACGAGTTGATGACATTAGAGGATTTCTTGGCAAAGGCAGGGGCAGTGGAGGAAGAAGATGTGAAAATCATCCCTCAACCTTTAACATCTGAGAGATTAAGTGGAGGGATTTTCAGTTTTGAGCATCCTATGCATCCACTAAATGTAGATGGTGTTGTAGGATTCGGAATTGGAGCTGATGAAATGGGAAGTAGAGGCAAAAGAAGAGCAATCGTGGAGCCATTAGATAAAGTTGCACAACAGAGGCAAAGAAGAATGATCAAGAACAGAGAATCAGCTGCAAGATCAAGAGAACGAAAAATGGTAGCTTTCATTTCTTTATAATAATTATTTTCAACCCATTTTCATAAATCTTTAAACAAACAATTTATGGGTTCTTGTTTAGGCATACCAAGCTGAATTGGAAGCATTAGCAGTGACTTTGGAAGAGGAGAATGAAGCACTATTGAGAGCAAAGGTACACTTATCATTTGTTTGTTTCATCTTTACTTGAATTTTTTTTTTTTTTTTGCTTACTTTTTTGACTTGTTACTTTGTTTCAGGCAGAGCAGACTAGAAAAAGGTATAAACAGGTATGAAATCCGCTATATCCATACAAATTAAGCTCATTAAGTAAAAAAGAAAGAACGCTTTTAAGTTTTATTAGATTTGTGATAGTAATGATTTGAATTTGTTTGTGTTTCAGTTGATGGACAACATAATTCCAATTACAGAAACAGAGACAGAGACAAGAAGAAAGACAAAATATGTGCTGAGAAAAGTTCGATCATTGGAGTGGTAATAGAAGGAAGACACAAATTAAAATTCTATTTGATAGACATGGAAAAATTGGGAATAATGGTGCAAATGCAACTACTAGCAAACTAATTATTTTGAATCAATATTTGTGGCTTCTTGAGTTTTTGTTCTTGGGCATTTTCGAAGATGAAGGTAAAAAAAAACTAGGATTGTATATTATATATATATATATATATATATATATATATATATATATATATATATATATATATCTCTATTATGCCTATCATTTGTATCTTTTCTTTTGTTATTAACTTGAAGAATTTTATTTGACCAAAAATATCAAACTAAATTTGGGGTTAATTCTTTTTTTCCCTTGATCCGGTTTTAGATCGAAACAAACTCAAAACAACCACAATAATTGATACAAACAACGTTGACCCAGCTATGACTGGAGTACATATAATCGAGCTCTTTTCACGAGGTTTTACTTCTTCCTCTTGTGTCAAATCATTCGATCCCAAAGTTTCTTCATTTTTCATTTCATGATTTTCATTTTCTTGGATTGGATTTTCTAATTCTTGAATCCCGATTCCCACGATCCCATGTACTGATTTTGGCATTCGAATGATGAGTCTTGATTCATCTTGGTCAAACCTGGCTTTGACTTTATCCAAAACTACTCCCTCGGGGATTGTGAAGGTTTTCTGGAATCCCTTTATTATTTCCTCTTGGCTAACGGGATTTTTACCACTTATTGTGATTCTACTCCCATCCTCGTTTATCTCGATCTTTATGTTGCTTCTATCATACCCTAAATTTTACACACAAATGAAAACCTAAACAAAGTTAAAAGAAAAAGAAAACATGAATATTAAAACCAAACCTTTAAGGTGGGATTTGAGGATGAACATGGAGTCTGTCTGTTGAGTGATGAAGACGGGATCTGTTTCATCTTTGGGGTGTAAACCCAGTTTGGAACTGGTATCCATTTTCGTTTAAGAGATGAAGGGGTATGAGATTGGAAAATGAAAGAGGGGAGAGATGTATGTATATAATAAGGGAATTTGATTACAATATTTTAGAGCAAAGAATATATGCATTGCTTTTGTTGTTCATACTTCTTGTAGTTATGAATCGTGTGGTGTATTTTGCCTTGGAGGGAAGCTAACCCAACCTTTACTGCTCATTTACAGATGGGAGTTGAGGATGAACATGAGCTTTGTTTGTTTCTAATCAAATTAATTAACTTTAAATGATTTTGATTTTACAGAAAAGTAAAAAATTGTTAATTGTAACGATTTTTAGTTTTTCATGAAAGCATGATAATGAAAACCCCTTAATGGGTTTATGTGTATTCCACTTGTATATAAATGAACATCCAGGACCACTTCATTATAGTCTATGCAAATAGTTAAATGCAAACAAAACTATTTATCCAACACCCCCATCCCCTGTGACAGTCCGAGCAGTAGGCCCACACTAATACTAGATTGAAAATTAAGAATAACTATGAGGGCAAGCTTTTTGTGAAAATGTCATCAAACTAATGTGCAAATGGAACATGCAAAACTCTAGTGTCACTAAAGACAACATTTTCATAAAAAATATAAATCTATCTATATATGTTTGGTTCTTTGGTGTTATACAAAATCAGACGCTAAACAGGCAACAAAAACATTGTCAATGAAAACTGCGGTTGCACGAGACATTGGACAAGGGAGTCCAAGAATAAGATTTTGGAGCCAGGTGACCTCAACAACGCATTGACAACACATCCAGATTTGACTTCAACACTAGAACGACACTACATGTTCTCATTTGGATGATGAAGAGACAATATTATCATTAAAAGACACAAAAACCTGAAATAGAGTGACGAGTCTCAGGACATCCAAGTATCCAACCCAATATGTGTCGGTGTAAGAAACCAAACGGTCCATCTAGGATGGATAAAGCTGAAGACGACGAGTGAGAGTTCCCCGAAGGTAGCTCAAGATATGTTTTACCCAACGTTCTAAATAATGTTAGGTGTGACTTGGCGGCAATGTCAAACCTCAAGATTTTTGAGCCGCGACGAGCTACGTCGTTTGTAAGACGTGATTCAAGACAACAATTTTGTATATAGTTAATATATATATATATATATATATATATATATATACTATTATTCATTTTTATATGCATATATGACTTAAGACGACATTTTGTTAAAGTTTAGCGGCAAGTACAAGTAGGGGTGCAAACGAGCCGAGCCGAGCCCGAGCCTGACCAGACTCGACTCGAGCTCCTTTGATTTATACGAGGCTCGAGCTCGAGTTCAGCTCGATTCGAGCTTTCATGTACTGAGCTCGGCTCGAGCTCGTAAAAAATTATACAAGCTCAGCTCGGGCTCGAGCTCGGCTCGTTTTTTGTCTAACATTCCTAAATAAGCTTAAGCTCGGTTCGAGCTCGTTTACTTATACCCTAAATTCTTAATTCCTCAAATATTTTTTATTTTAATATATAAAAATAATCATAGATTATGTTATATATAGACTCGTTTAGGCTCGCGAGCCTAATCGAGCTTAGTGACATAGGCTCGAGCTCGAGCTCGTTTAATAAACGAGCTTAATATTAAGCTTGAGCTCGGCTGGGGCTTACTTAAAATCGGTTTCGAGTCGAGCTTTTAACGAGCCGATCTCGAGTAGCTCACGAATAGCTTGACTCGTTTACACCCCTAAGTACAAGCTTTAGAGCCATGAAGTTCCACGACGAAGCCATGAAAAACTTTTTAGAACCTTGATTTTAAGACATTCAAGTTGGATTCCCAAGGATCGTATATGTAAATGAAGATTTGATGGACAACATAGGCAATGTATATATGAGTGAATGTGAGATATTGAAGGGGACTAACAAGCTAAGGCTGTGATAGAGGGTGGTGTCGCTAATAGGTTACTAGTAGAGAGAAGCTTGGATTTTGTTTCAACTGATGTACTACAAGGATCTTACTTGAGCCTATTGGATCAAGTAAGATTTTCACGAACAAAGGCAGTCTGGGAAAAAAAGATACCACAATTGGTATGCATAACAATAATGTTGAGAGAGAGAGAGAGAGAGAGAGAGAGAGAGTAAATTCTTCAGAAAGGAGAGACATGACAAACTAAATAAGAGTCATAAAGGAAGTCGTAAGAATAATATCGTGAACATAAATAATAAGATAGTTAGTGTCATGGCTACTATAAAACATGAAAAGAGAAGTATAAGATTTGTTATTATTGAATCCTAAGGAGGAAAAATAAAATAACAAATTGTTATACGAAGCACGAAGAATTTGTTTAAGGCTATAGGCGGCTTTAAGCCAAAAAATATGATTGGATGAGAGGGATGTACACAATTAAGAGGTACTTTCATATACACCTCCTCAGTTAAGTCACCGTTCAAAAATGTATTTTTGACATCCAATTTATATACAAGCCATACATAAGAAACAAAAATATTAAGAACAATATGGATGGTGGCAAGCTTAAATATAAGATTAAAAGTCTCAACAAAATCTAGATCTGGTTGTTGAGATAAGCCTCGGGCAACAAGGCTACTTTTGTATTGGTCAAGCAATTATGTGTTTATTGCTAGCATAATATTGAGAAGGGTGTTGCTAAATTGACACCCCTTAGACATCCTATTAACATCTTTATTAAAAGTCAACCTATAATAAACTATTTATAATTTATTTTTGCAAAAAACAATACAAATTTAACCAATAAAAAAACTTTAAAAATCAAACAGGGTGTTTAAATAGAAAAATGAGGTGTCTTTTTAGTCAACCCCTATTGAGAAAGAGAGACTAACTTTTCTAAATGAATATTTAACTATATAGTAGATCATACTTAATCTACTTGTATATGAAGTTTATTAAAAAAAAAAGAGATAATGTTTATTATTTGACATATTGTAAACACTTTAAGTAAAGAAAAAAACCCCATAAAGATTAAGTTAATGTTGTTTACTAATTTACTTAAGTTTATATCTTATTAAAATAAATACTTGTATTTAACCCCACCCCATGTAAAAGTATTTTAATCATATAGAGGACCTAACAAGTGGTATCTTAATAGGAAAATTCACGATTTTTTAATCCCAGCTTACTGATATGATATTGTTACCTATTTTGAGTAGTCCATCAAATTTTAATTTCATTTCTTAAAAAATATCATTTTGTTTAAGGTTCCTTCGTGTGATGCTAACCACTTTTCCCATGTGGAAAAGCTAACAATTATAATTGAAGGACCATTTGTTCTGACGGCTACTGTCATTCATAGTGGGTACTACACTTGTGAAAGCAACTCATCTCCTCCTCAAAATGTATTCTTCAATAGAGATAGGAGGATAACCCTAAATCGAAGGTGTTCAGACCATACAAGTCTCAACGTATCCAAATTATAGATGCACGCAATAATGAGTAAACTCAATTCAAAACTAGAAGGTTTATCCCCATATAAAAAACTCTCTGTGAAAATACTTTCATGAATGTATTATGTATACATTTTACATATAATATACACACAACGTTCTAAAAATCGGCCTAGGCACTAACTGACCTCTTATCGTCTACAATTAATGCAAGTCAGTCGAGTTAATCGGAGTCGGTCTAGGGCCGTCCTAGGCATTCTAGGTCGGTCAAAAAGTCAGACATTTAAAATTTTGAAATAAAGTCTCTGAATAGTCAAATTTATGATAACCGGTGACTAATATATGATGATTGATGTGTAAAATTGTGAAAGAGATCTTTGATTAGTCTAAAATATATATACGATGATTTTAATATTTAGACATTTGAATATGTCAAAGTTTTATGGTTATTTACTTATTTTGTCAAAATATAGGTAATATTTATTTTAAAAAATAAATAAATTCTATTATAATTAAAGCTTTCCGGCTAAGCGCCGGTTAATCTCCGCTTTAACCGATTAGTCCCTTACCCCAGTCGATTGCCCGACCACCGCCTAAATTTTGCAACCTTATTTATATACACATAAGATATGCACAAAGAAATTCAATAACAGGGAACATTAGATCACAATATATGATAAGATGTATGATAAGGGACGTGTGTGTTCTTAGGTAATGAACACATTTTAAGAGTGTGTAGGCTAATGTATAATAAGTTGCTCAAAGTGTAATAATAATTCATCAACATCTATATAAGTAAATTTATGTAAAATATCACACCTCCTTAAACTTAATTACTTTATTTAGCTTCACATAAACTTAACGACACTCATTAACCTCTTAAGGTATTATATATAACCTTAGTGAAGAATTAGAGCACCAAAATGACACCCGATGCGTGCACGAGGGCTTAACTTCTTTTTAGATTTTCTTATATAAAATTGTAGCGGAAAAATAAGAAACAAGAACAAGAACACAAGAACGAATATAACTTGTTCGACAAGAAAACAATAAAACATAGATTTTGATAAACAATCTAGACTTATAGATTGAGTATCGATGAAAACAAATCAAGACCTATTGATTTGAATTCGTATTAAACTAGAATACGCGTCCTAGACTTGACAAATGGGCGAGTATGCAACTCAAAAGAACAACGTTCTTCAAATTCAACCCATCATAATTTTACAAACGATCAACCAAGGGTTATATATAGTCTTACAAATGCTTACAAAAAGGAAACTAAAATAAACGCCTAAAATAAAATAAAAACAAATCGTTTCTAGAAATAAAATAGAGTCTTCTAGATCGTTCATGCGATTAACCACTCAAATATCTTCGTGTTAGGAACAATGCCCAACCAGCTTTCACATCCAACAACAGATTGTTCGCATCCATAAGATGTTCACATCTAGTAATTGTTCGCACCCATGTAGCACTATTCGCATCCATTAAGCTTTTGCACCCACTGCTCGTTCGCATCCAACTGTCGTTCCGAAGTGGTTCGCATTCGCATCGGATAAGTCATTCGCATCCAACTGTCGTTCCGAAGTGGTTCGCATTCGCATCCATTCACATCCATAACCAGTTGACTGTGATCCATTGCGATCGTTTGCATTGGTTCGCAT